ACATGATTTTCATTAAATATTATTATAAAGCGCGTGCGGTCGTATATTTTATTTCGTTATTTTTCAGTAGTTTTACATATTATTATAATATATTTTAATATATATATATATATATATATATAAATACGTATTTTTATGTAGACCGATAGACGGATCTACCTGGATAAATATGAAAAAAATAAATAAGTAAATAAATATACAATTGCGTAATAATCTCTCGCAGAATCGTTTTCTATGTGTCGTAATAATGTCATCTCATATTTTTATAACAATTTAAATAAGTACACCGAATATCAATGTCATCCACGTCTTCGCGTTTCAATAATACTATGTATATTATAATGTACGCGTAACGTTACGTTTTTTTTTTTTTTTTACTTCAAACGCGGAATATTTTTATACTGGGTATTTTTTTTTTTTATTATGACCCATCAACGGTTATCAACGCCAATATTGAATTGAAATTATTTCACGGTTTTTGTTCATTCATTATACGGAAATGTTTTATATGTTAAAACAAACTGGATACATTATTCCGGGTGTTCGGCTTCGCCCATCGGTCAGGACACAGGGGACTGTGGCAGATACAGTTGGCGGGTGGGCGGCTGCACGAAATATTACGGGTATAATACTGGGGAAATTAAGATATGAAAGGACTCGGTGAATGTCTAGATATCAGTATTCAGAGGGCAATTTAAGACAACTTATAACTGCACATTTTTATATTACGTAGTTACCTACTATTGTGTTGAAATTAATTAAATTCTTTGTAGTTTTCCAAAGTAGATCCTTGCAGAGTAATTATATATAAACGAATTTTAACAATATTATTTTGATTCACTATTAGTATAGGTATTCAGTATGTTATCTTAAAAATTAACTTAATAGAAATCATAATACTGTAGGGATACAATTGTAAAATTACAATTTTTTTATATTATTATAGGTACTTACAAAAAAAAAATTGAAAAAAAAAATTAACAAAATACATAACCCCTACGTGGAAATTGGAAACGGAGTGCGTTGGGGTGACCGTACGAAAATCAAAAATGAATACCTGTTTAAGGCGCCTAGTATATAGAGCATATAGAAATAAACATATCTACAAATAGTGTTAAAATGAAGTTAAAAAGAAAAAAAAAAGGAAATCGAATCTACTTAAAATCCTCCGGGAAAATCGTTAGATCACGTTTGCAAAAAATCACCCTGTGTATAATAATTCGATTTTTATTTTTTTAGTTCTATGTACTTCTACAGTGCACTTACATCCGATTTACTCATGACCGATTAAGTTATTGCGAATACATACATTTACTGTATTTGTCGACACGGCTCTAGGAGTACGATATTTTGATGAAAACACGCCATCATCTGCCTAATTTTCGTATTTAACCAGTAATTCTATTTGACATCGGCACCGTCGTTTCGCTCTCTGCGCCAATGGCATTCACAATAATGTAAACACGTGGATAAATCGTAAATGTCAAATAAATGCATCGGTTTTCGTCGGGAACATCGGCGTTTTATTTATAAATCATACAGTTAGGTAGACTTTATAAGTAAAACATTTCGTTCGACGTAACATATTAAAATGGCATTATCGTAATTTATTCACGCAATGCAGAGTAAATAACAAATAAAATCGAATGTACTCGTAAGCCGGTATTGTAGGTGGGAAGTCGAGAATGTATATATGGGTTAATTAATTTGTATACTGTCGGCAACGATAAATCATTGCGATCAAAATATCGATTCTGGGAGGAAATCGGTAGAATGGTTAGGTTGTAATACTAGGGTGCGGATAATATTGCGAAATCCATTGTTTTCTGAATGTCCTAAAGCAATGCTTCCCAAGCACAAAATTCGTTTCACACATTAAAGAAGTTAAATGTGAGACTTTTATTTTGCATTTTTAGAACTTATTTTATTTGTAGAGCGTTTGTTGACATTTTAAGTACATTATTCGGTTTTATGATAATTTTTCTTCTTTTTACAATATTCATAGAGTTATCAGACAATTTGATAATATTTATTTTGATTTCCTTTTAAAAGAAAAAAAAAATTAATATTTCTATTTTCAAAATGTATTATAGATATACCACTTGTACCAAATAAATACGATGCCGGCTACAATAAAAAAAAACAATAAGCTATTTATCGAGTCGTGATCTAATCGTATTGTGCTATTTACACTGCTGTGTTCAGTAAATTTATATGATAATTAAATATAAAGTTTTTTTTCAATATTTAGAATGAATTTTAGTTCATTTCGTCAAGGCATTTTTCTTGTTTGTAAGAGCATTTAAATCCGCACTCTAGTTAGTTTAGGTAAATTTGTTTTATTCACGTCTAATGCATTATTATGAACTCGCGGAGAATTTTTAATCGGAACATTTCGGTTTGTCCGACTATTTTTTCAACCACCGTACCGCCGCGGAGTTCATAAAAAAAAAAAAAAAAATACCATAAAACTAGCCAAAATAAATTCGTGCGAGTACGATGATATTATTAGGTATTACGAGTTGTAATAAATATTATTTTTGACTTATAAAATTCGTGTGGGCACAGCTCGCACGTTATGATTTATAACATTGTCGTATATAGGTGTACGTAATACTTATAATAAGTAATATATTAGACTTATGTAATAGTAAAAAAATAAATCTAGTTCGTGTCGATTTGACATAAATTTTAGGTCCATCCCTGCAGATACCTATATAAAACGTATAATGCGTATATATAATTATAATACGAATATGTGTCGTGAAATTAAATATATATATAGGTATTTACATAATATCATTTTGGCATAGTATAAATTGGTAGTTGGGGTCGTGACTGCAGCGTGAAACACACCGTTATCCTTTCACGAGTTATGATGACTATAGCAGGTACGTATACCAATAATAATACCTATATAGGTATTACTCGACTGATCATGCTATAAAAATAATTCACATGTTTTTTTTTTTTACATTCTGTTATAGAAGTATAAAATATTTAAAAAAAAATATATTCGTTGTACGGCATTTATATAGTACCTTATATATTATATATTGAGAAATACTTCCATGTGTATACGGTTGTCCAAACTAGAGTGAGCGCGCGCCTGAATACCGGGAAGATGGGTACAGTAACTTAACTAAAGTTACCATAAGCCCGGCCAGTGTTTAGAAATTTAAAATCTATCGATTTTGATACTTTGTTGCAGTTGGGTGAAAAGTACTCGCGGAGATTAGGTTAGGTTATCTGCCATTTTCACTGAATACTTATTGCTAATTAACCTTACCGTATTACTTTACCGTACCTTATTGCCTCAACGTGCCCGCTATAACTGAAATTTATAACGCTTTCTAGACGTAATACGATTTTCAAAATATTCACTAGACAGTCGCTATGTGTTAAAAGTAGCAAAGTCGATCTCTTGTCATTATTCGATTGGAGTAATATTTATGATAGAAAACATATGTTGACCGTATTAAAATAATTAAACCGGGACGCAAAGTTGCCGTCAATTTTAATTTATTGGTTTTCCCCGATTATTAGGAAAACTCTTTTAGATATCAAAAAACAACTTACTCTGTCCGTAGTGAAATATTAACAGGAACAAAATCGATCTTTTATCATTGTCCATACTTCGGAGCAAGTTTTCTTATAGAAAAAATGTCCACAAACAGAACAATAAAAAATACCTACATAACATCATAGTTTACTCGCTGCGCTCCGAATCTAAAAATTGAACATAATAACTATAGCCGTTGTTTCTTTTGATAAAGAATCACGTGCATCCGAATTAATGACAAAGTTCGTTAAAAACACAAACAGTGCACGCTTATTATTTTGTAGTTACAATTAAAAATACAAATTTAAATCTATCAAAGTATATGGTCAACCAAACTTCATCCGGAATCGCTGTGCGTTTACATACTTTTTATAGTGATTTTTTCCGAACTTCGTACCGTTTTCTATTTCTCTGACACAGGCGTGATGCCGATTATAATAAAATTTAAACGCTTTCTAAAGAGGTACCTAATAGTATACAGGTATTACGTATACAATTATCGCTATGTTAAAATCATAGCGTTCGTAATATTTGAAAATTATAGGCCTCGCACGGGTCATCGACTGTATGATTACACGGCGATACACAGTGGTGATCCCATAGGGTATACGCATGGGTAATCCGTGTGAACTTTCAATGTTTTGTTGAAAAATCGGTTGTTATTATATATTATTATTATTGTTCATATACCACTAAATACCGAATACCACCGAAATAATAACTGTTATTTACTTCGGCGATTACTAATTATAATACATCCTATAAACGGAAAAAAATAATTTTGTAATAGTTAACAGTTAAATATTCTTTTAGCTAGATTAGCTATTACGTTTCCATCGAAACTAACTGATTGCTTGTTATCACCTACTATTCACGATTACTCGAATAATACCAGTAAAAATAACTAAATGCTACGGTTATAGCAGTTGTAGCAGCTAGAGTTATGTACAAATTTAACTAAGTACCTATTCTGTTTAGGTAATATAATTCGAATTTATAGTATTGTTAACTGTTCACTATGGGTTAATATAACTGTATAAAATAGGTCTTATCAATAGATTTTGTTCCGTGTAATTAAAACATTCGTAATTTTCTTATGATTTACTGTGTTTTATTTTGGTAATTTTAATTCCGTTTTTATATTATTGATATCTATTTCCTTATAAAAAATATAACCCATGAAAAACAATATCCCAGGTAGCAGGTCGGTATTTGGATAAGGGTTAATTGTACCTTGCTGTTCGTAGCGGCAAATTATTTTGTCAATTAAGGGGGTGATAAATTTGTATTGACACCCTACAAAAAAAAGATGATATATTATACGCTAGTACCTTATTATTAGTATAATTAGTTTTTTATTTTTTTTTTTTTTACATAAGTAAACACCCCGTGTCTATTTATCAGTGTTTCGAGTTCAAATTCTATTTTACAAACACGATAAAAATAAAAATGACATTTATTATGTAATAATTCATAAATTAATACAATTTTCCACGGCATATCATTATCTATAAGTTAATAACTAGTTGTAATGTTATATTTTGAAAAAAAAAAAAAAATTAATTTTTGGGAAAGGTGGCTAAGATATGTAGCCCGGAGCTTGAAATTGCCTAATGTCATCCGCCATGTAGGCCACGGAATATCTCGGTCGGTGCATACGCTGAAAAAAATCGAATCGACCAAATTATAAATCGTAATATTATTATGTTTTCAAAATTGAAAAAAACACGTACCGGAAAAACTCCATTTTCGCCGAATCAATTCGACAGTGTCTACGTGCCGATAGTCCATTATGGCATTTTAAACGCGTCAACGGCCGTGCATAGGCAGGTATACCGCATGCCTAACCAATAATAACATAATATTTTATAGTGCAACAATGACAGCGTATATTAATTTAAAACTTTTGCCGCAGTCGTATTGTGTCGTGTACCTACGTACAATAGTTGTTTGAACACAACAGTAGTTTAGATGTCAGTTATACACCCGACGGCCGCCGCACGAATCGGTATAATTTATTTGTATTATTAAAAATATATAATAAATCCCCACCGTTTGCAGTAATCGAAACCCATTTTAAATGTTATTTATATAGGTATGCGCATGCTCAAAACCGACTGACGTAATTATTATAAATATAAAAATATATTCTACGCACTCGTAAATTCATCACAGTCGTGTAATATCCGCTCCGTGTTTAATACCAATAAGAAAGCGTTCGGTTGGAGAGTAAAAAAAAAAAAAAAATTAAGAGAAATTTTGCACCGAGCCAAACCGATTCGAAATAAATCAAAATATTGTCCTGGCGTTTCGTAAATAATAAAATATATATAATGTTTATATTATGATATTATGATTGTTTTAAATAAGAAAATTATATCACTTTCCACTGAAATATTTCACGAAATTGTGAAATGTATTTATTTTTTGTTTTATGAGTTTGGACTCATGGCTTAATTTTCTTTTTTCAACAATATGGGCTGGGCCCGATTACACAGAAATATTGATAATAACAAATTATAACTTAACAATTATTATAAAGTAATAGCAACAAATAAGCGTAGAACACGCAAGTATTAAAAAGATGATAGATCACTATTTTGCCATACCCATCGTTCTAACGATTGGCTGGTTCTCGAAATAATTGGTGTTGCATTTAGGCATAGAAAATGGATAAAATAAAGTAAAGCAAGACAGTCAATACGTCTATCGATTAGTTGGCTAAGAAAATGTGTATTAGCAACTTGTCTTCTATCAACTGAGGAGCTTAAACCGAGCTTGTTCACAATTGGATAATAATCATGAGATGTTTGATCAATATTAAAAATAACAGCCGCATACTTTGGAAATTTTCCGTTAACCCTTTCAATTTGCTTACTACCACAAGTAGTGAAAACGTCCCGAACAATAGCTCCATACTCGAAAATAGACCTTACACGGGAACAGTATTAACGAGAGTTTACGGGAAATAGTAATTTGAACACATTAAAAATTCTTATTTTTCTCGTTATTATTATACACGGTTAATTGTTGGTACGAATAAAGAAAACCGACATGGTCGCATTACGAGATATATTAAATTTATAATTAATTCAGGGTTCGGGACTTTTAAGATTTATTAGTGTTATTTAAGTTATAAAGTGACAGCTTATAAGTACCGAAACACGTGCACGCATAGCTGCATTTCCCTATATTTTTGGCTTTACATATATACCAAAATTCTATTGATATTTACGCCGTGTTATAGCGAGTTCAAATATCAAATTTGAAAGTGTTTAATTTTGCCAATTTAAATAGTTTAAAAAAGAACAAATGCTCTTTTAAATATCGATTAGTGTTTCTTTCAGCACTTAAAGAGCTTATTAAGCCTTTTAAGGGTTAAAAATAAAGTTTTTAATCGTTTTTTTTTTTTTTTTTTATTGATTTTTTGTGCTATAAGCCCTGGTAATTATTGTTATTTACTTTGCATTTCAACTTATAAAAATAACGTGATACAATTTCAATGTTGTTGAATTTGAGTTAGGTATTGTGACAAACACTTTTATGTTGACAATATGTTAGATGTTCTTTAAATAATAATATTACTTATAAGTTGTAGGGAATAGGAATGGGAATATAAAACATCGCGATCTTATCATTTGTATGTAATTTTATAATCAAATACAACAAGAATATCAAAAATATGTACTCATATATAAATATGAATAATAGGAAAAAACATTTCAAATGAAATTCTATAATTGAGATTCCTAAGAGCTTCCTAATAGCTTCCTTATAGGTAATAATGCATCATTAAATTTTCTAAATATTCTGCTGATCTTTAAGCTATTTTACATTTTTGAGTTTTTTATTTTTGGTTTTTATATGAATAATATTATTCTGGCCCGGTAAAAATGTTTGAAATTTTAACGCGAGGTTTATAATATTAGCTATTTTTGGTGGTAAAAAAAAAGTCGATCGTTATGTTGTAGTTTTTTTTTTATAAGCTTTTTTAAATTTGTATACAATATATTTTTTCTGTAATTTTATAAAAAAAACAAAACAAAATTGAAACATTTCCAGTTTTTCTTTTTTTTTTTTCAAATATTTCGAAATATACAATATTATAGAGTTTTCAAAATATATATACTATAGCTGGCGAAACTCGAAACGTTAATTTTCTATAATACACTCGTAGGTACTCGTAGGTGCTGCTATTATAATTTATAACGCGAGCGACGGGATCGACATTTTTTGATGTCGAAAATGTTTATACTGTCTCGTCGTGACCTCCCTCGCGGTATATATTTACACAAATTTAACGTTATAATGTTATCGTGTGTGCCGCATAATAATATAACATGTCCGTGCGTACAGAATGTACTCGCGGGAATATACCGAGATGAATATTATTATACGGTGAAAAATCACATTGTAAACAAACGCTGACAAGCAAATTACCGGCTGGCGAACTCGTGTATACCCATACGTATTATATACTTACGATAGTAGTGATAATTACAAATGAGTATACCGATACCCGTGCCTGCCTGTATACCGTACGACACGCGAGCGTAATATTATGAGGTTATAATATTATAAGGTATTAGATGCCCAGTGGCCACTTTACGTTTTAATTTTTAACAATATAATATAAACTATATGTGTGTACTCGGGGTGATTTTATTTTATCGTTGAACACTCATTATTTCGAAAAGTATTGATTTTTTAATTTTTTTCAAATGTCCCCCTGCCCGATAATTTATACACTGTCGCTCAGCCTAAAATATGCAGTCACGTGAACACTTTTTCCCATGCACCGTCGGCGTTATAATGCCGTTGGAAAATCGAAAAGCGGTATATAGTTAGAAAAACAACAAGGACACGTCAATTTTGAGAGCGGCTGTTTATTGTGTTCTTATATTCCCATCGCCCTCCCCTCTCCTCCCCCCCCCCAAAAAAAAAACAATCCGTAAACAGCTATAGTACAATATAATTTCCAAGATAAAGACTATGCACGACTATGCCTTACGCTACTGCTCGACCGCCTTGTATAATATTAATTCCGACCGTTATTTATTTATAAATATACGTAATACGCGTGTACGAACAGTCGATTACGGCAGCGTATGTCGGTCGTTACCTATATTTTTCATAAAAATTCACGAAGATTCGGCAATATACGTAGTTACTAACGAAAATAATAATTGCGTTACCGATACGCTATTAGGTATACTTACGAAAACGCTAAAATTAAAAAAAAAAAATTTTAAAAAAAAATAGAGATCCGTCGGTCGTATACATTATTTTACCGCATATATATATATATATATATATTATATTTATAATATTTATAATATAATATACGAAAATCGTTATAATTACACGCTAAATCAACAAAAATAAATAGGTAGGTAACCTAACTACGTATGGTTCTATATACGCATGAATCCGCGCCCTGTGATGGCATTGGCGCACGCTTAACATTTTTTAAGAAGACATACTTAACCGTTCTTACGTCACACGGCTCGTTCTGAATAACGTACCTACGTTTCGTATATATTATTAAATTATACTGCAGGTACGTATAATAGGTATTCATTAAAAATATAAGTCGAGTAAGACGAAACGCCGAAATCGTTCGACGGTACCTAGTTAGAAAAAAAAAAAAAGTATATTATTTTCAAAACTTGTACCTATACTATAATAATTGTATTACATATTTATATATATATATATATATTTTAAATTCTGTTGGATTTTTTTCTTAATAATCCGCGATGTTTCTTTTTTAACAAAAGTCCTTTACACCTATCTTACGTTCCGATTTCGATTCGGCCGCCCTAAAATAATAGCAATACAAACCATCTTAGTTTATAATTATATTAAATCATCGAAAATAGTAGCCCATGTGGTTTTGTATCGAGGTGGATGATTGCATGTTAGATTCTGAGTGGAGCAAGGAATGTATTGATTTTACAATGAGGGTTTTTTTTCTGTGGACAACATTTTACCTGCGATTTTGCTCCGATTTACAATAATAATGATACTTCTTTCTAAAAGAAAATCTAACTGGGAAAATACTTTAGGGAGATCTTTTTTTGATTTTTCCCCGAGTTTTCCCAATAAATTGGAAACACGCAGGATAAACGGAAAAATAGGTACAATATTAAACAAATATTATTAAAGAAAATTTTTAATTAGCCTATGTAATTATTTACTATAATATGACACATATATTGTTGAAAAACCAACCTTATCAATCAAACTCCACTCAGAATCGTTTTTTAATTAACAATGGTTTATAGTTGCTTATAGATATATATTAAATTTCCCCTCTACTACCTCCCAACTTCTCACCAATAACGGTGGCTGCACCCGTTCCCATTATCCTAGGAGAGCTTTTTAATTACTATTTATACAAAATGTGATCAATAACTATTTAGTAAAAACGCGTATAGACACCTTTATATTACGTATAATATTATGTGTTAATAATCGATAAAATAAATGTTAACGATACTATTAATAACTAGACTTGTGCTTCTCAAACGTTGGAATTAAAAACAAAATGTAAAAATACAGTCAAAGATAATTAGTTGATTCGGGACGGTGACCAAAATTATATCATTCTGGATCTGTCCTGTTGACAGGAGCTCACTAACATAGTAAAGGATATAGTAAACGATAGCGGGATAAACAGAGCAGGTACCGAAAAAAAAAACCAGAAATAAAATCAAAAAATAATACTAATACTATTGTTATTTACTGGTGTACATAATGACAATTGAACATGCACATTGCACCTGTAATCCCAGCACTATGTCATATTCCACGAAAAATATCTCTCAATTTGCACAGGTTAAAAAAAAATAATGCGAAAGCTCCATTGGTTAGTTAGACCACACGTCCCCACACCGAGTTAACTATAGAAAACAAACGTCTACTGTATAATATAGCTAACATAAAACCAATTTGGACCTATGGCATTCGACTGTTGCGTTGTGCCA